ACAAATAGAATTTTTTCATAAAATAAATATGGTAGGTATTTGCATTTTCATTCTGGATAAATCTTTCTTTTAATATATCAAAAAAAATTTCCGAGTTTCTATCAATAATCCACCAAGACATAAAGTATTATAGCATCTCTTCTCTTCAAATGCAGAAGAAATATTTGAAAAGTCATTCATTTTTTCATTAATTTTTAATACTTCTAAAAAAAGAAACAACATGGTTATTTTTTAGATTGACGTCATCAGAAAATAAATCTAAAAAAGCGTGTGCTTTCAACCTTATAAGCTTAAAAATACATTATTCATGTTAAAACGTAACTATTGAATAGAAAATTTAAAGGCAGTAATCAGAAAAATGATTCGGTAAATAATTAGGAAATAAGAATTAAAATTTAGAATGGTCTTAAACAAATTGAATCGTTTGTTTCGGGATGAAAACTGAAGAAAAATTTTATGGAAATGAAAAAATACAAGAAAATAAAATATTCGATCGAAAAAACGAATTCTTGCCAAAAACCACAGCCAAGAAATTTCAATTTTTACCAAGGATTTTAAAGCTTGTTGTTTGCCAGAAGATAAAATTGTAATTCAGTATCCTATTTATTGAAATAAATAATTAATATTATTGTTTATATACAATTATCCAACATATATTCTCTCCATTAAAGTAATAAGTAATGAAAGCCTTGTCTAATAGCTATAAAACTTAACCATACGGCTAAAACGGATAACTATTTATAGGTTCATTGTTAATTTTAAATTTACACAAACAGAATAGAAATATTCAGTACAGAATATTCAGATGCTCCATTACGTCAAAACCACTTAAGAATATAAAGAGAAACTTAAAGGTTAACGTTCCCTTTAGTGTTATGTTATTTCGAGTAGATTGAAACAGAATGGAGTTTAAATAGTCAATAGCAGCGGGGAAACTTTTATTTAATATTGACTATACAATACTTTAAACACGTTCGTTTGTTGAATAGAATACAAACAACCATGTTTCTCTTTCCGATTATAGCAAATACACATTTTTTACAATCAAACATTTACGTTTATCTAGCGATTTCATATTGGATCGCTTTAAAATAAATGTAAGTTTGTGAGAGAGAAGGTGAAAACCTTTCCGTATTTGTAGATCTTGAAATTCCATCCGATGCTTCATATTTTTTTCATGACTGGTATTCGTTTGGTGTGTCCATTCAACAGTGATTAAATTTTTTTTCTTTTATTCCGAAAAGAATTCTATTCACTTGTTCACCGATATTAAATTTCGACTATCAGGTGGCAGATTTTATTCTTCTATTATTCCATATTTAATAAATTAATTCAATTTCACCTTATATATATATCAGATCTCAAGATATTCCTCCCCATATCCCGAGCTATAAATCATGGTATGAAATATATAGGCATATCATACAGTCTAATTTCTTTTCTTTCGATAGGCAGATAAAAAACACAAAACAAAAAAAAAAGCATTTAGCCTTGAGTCAGAAAGCAAATCATTTTAAGGGCATCAAATATTTATTATATTATGCAAATAATTAAAGAAATGCGAGGAAAATGTATTTTGAATTACAAATGAAATTTTTTTCTCGGATGGAGCTTGACAGTTATTGTATGTCGCACTGATTTAACCTATAACATCTGCATAAAATTAAGATAGAGGGGTGCTTGATTTGCAATCCTCGTATTTGTCGTATTTATTTATACTTTTAAAATATGACTTCTCTACAGGTGCTCATTCTCTTGTCGAACATGACAAGGAAGAGAAGAAAGTGTGTCAACAGCATCGTCGTTCTGTTAGCGACAGCGTCAGCCTCCGGCAAAGGTCACTGACAGTCAAACTGTTCCGTTAATACAGGTCACACTTCCTTGCTTTCAGACCAGTTCCTACCGATGAATTGCGTAGTTGATATGTGTTTGGAATTCAGATAGCCATACAAACGCATACGGAGGGTCGCCTCCTGCTGGCAAAACACAACCAACAACAAATTAATATTACATAATACTAGAATATATCTCTTCAAAATGAAGAATTCCGCATTAAAAATTCGAAAACTTTCGCATTGTTTTCCAACAAAACCGGATTTCTTCACATATGTAATTATTCATATTAATTTGAACTCGGGTTGCATTAAAAGGTTATTCGGTCGTTTTGGATTTACATGATATTAACGGGTTATCATCCGTTTCTTCAATAAAAATTTACATTTTATGAAAATTTTAATCAAGCAATACATATTTTAAAAATCATATCGAGACGATATCGTGTTCATGATGGATAAATGACCCATTAAAAATGGATTAATTAATCAATTTAATCTCTCTTTGAATAATTAAAAACAAATATAAACTTTAGGATTATTTTAATTTTTCATGAACGTAATTAAGAAAATAATAGAGTCACGCTTGCGCAGAGTAAATATCAGCGTCACGAAGCTAGTAGAAACCGGATCATCATCTACTTTCGTGCTCCTTCACTTCATTTCTTTATAATTTGAAACATTTCTAATCATTCTTAAAGAAAATACGATATATTGATGTGTAATTCAAATCATAACTTCGTTTTAAAAAATATATTTTAAATTTAAAGTAAAAAATCAATCAATAGAACAGACTAAAGACATACGCTAATACCTGTATATATGAAACTTTATCACAAAAAATCATCAAAACTACTCGATGAAACCAAGCTTTTTACGAAAAAGTATGTCACAAATACATGCTCGGATCGATGCCTTTTAATTAATATAGCTTTTTTAACTTTCCTCGCGGATTCCGTTAATTGAAAACTGATTTTTAATTGCATAAGATTTTCTTGAAGTGGAAATTTAATATCTTTTCTCATAACGAATTAACTGGAAAGCTGTGGAAAAAGTAACCGGCGGCAAAAAAAGGCTAACGATTTTCACAATAGTAAGAATTTTTAGCGGATGAATAATTCATTAAAAACTTACGAAAATATGATATATAGGCTAATCTAGTACTTTGGTATCGGCGGATAAGCATGCTAAATCAGGCTTAACTGAGGTTCTTAACATAAGACAGATTATCTCTCTGGGGAATGCCAACTCCTCTCTCACTAACTTCTCCAGTAACGAGATTAATATAACACTTCTGATATCGATAGTCTTATTCGACGAGCGGGGACCCCATTTGTAAGTCTCCGATGGAGAGAATAAGCAGCTGCTCTTATTTCAATAAGATGTCAGTCGACAGTATAAAAAAAGTAAATAATTTTACTTAAACACTCTCTTTAATGAAATAAACTGACTTAAGCATATTTCGGATTCTATCTAATAAACTGGAGAAATAGCTAATTTTCTTTAAATTTAACTTTAAATGAGTGAAAAGAAGAAATTCTATTTGCAATACTGTTTAAAATGTATATTTAAATAATAAAATTTTACTTTTATAGGCTCAATTAAAGCTTTTACTTTTAGATTTTATATTCGCTTTGCAAAAGCCGACTTACTTCCTAATAGTTAGATTATCGTCGGTTTACTTTTATCTTTCTTAGAGTTGAGGCATCTGGTTTTTAAGTGGATAAAAACTGACGCAATAGTTCTGCTTTGATATTTCTGTTTAAGTAGCTTAAATCTTTCTAACGTTTACGAAGATGTTCTAAAATGCCCGTTTTGCAGCAAAAGTTTCTAAATAATTTAATTCGTGCTTTAATTATAAAATTTGATTCGATCCTTTCATTTTCTCCTTTCTTTCATACAATTTGCGGAATCGAAATTCTAAAGATATACGGCATTGAGATATGGAGCAGAAAATTTTTCTCGGTTAAGCGATTTTATTCGAGAATTAAAGTAAAAATTTATAGCTTTTAATAAAAATTTCGGGTGTACACTGTCGCAAAAAGTAATTAATCTTTAAAATTTATTATCGGTATGTTTCAATCTATGTAAATTATTTCCATTTACACGATCGCAATTTCTGGATGCATGAACCCGAGTTTTAATCTGTATTTGTGCTAAAATTCTCTTTAATCACACCAAACAATTCGTAAGTTCGTCAAACGGATCTATCATTTTCACTAAACAAATGGAGAGGGAAGTATTATAATGAGCGTTACTTGGCAACGGAGTGTAATGAGAATAAACGGCATATTCTAATAGTAAAAGGTCTGTTCAAAGTGGTTAATACCAAGTAAAGGAATACCAAACTGACCTCCAGTGTAATCCACAGTAAGAGCTAATTTCCTATCTCGTTTAATTTAAATCCATTAACTTCTAAATGTAATCGATTCTAATCCATCAGCTTTCTATTTCTAGATCCTTATGATTACTTTAATATATAAGTTATATTATTGATTAAAAATGAAACTTTTTGAGAAGATATTTAAGATTGTAACTTTATCAACTCTACTATAAAATAATAAAATCATCTAATTAAATTTAATTTAGCTTTAGGAAAAAATATTTAAAACAAACAAAACTTATTTATATTATATTTTTAAATACTCAGATAAGAATTGTTCCTCTTACAGATGTATAAACGTATAAATTAATAAAAATTTCTTCTGGATTGTTCCATTTATAATTGAAATTTTTATTTATCTTTCGATCGAAGATATGTTTGTGTATTTTCCAAAACGTATATTTATATATTGAAATAAAAAAAATTTCTCTATATTATAAATAACCTAAGCTACAATTTTTATAATTTGTTTGGATACCTTTGTAAATTTTAAATTTTATTCGAAATATAAACAAACCTCTTTAAATTATCAAAACTTTAATTAAAAATGTCCAAATGTAAACTAATTTTAAAAAATCTTTTATGTATTTCTAAACAAATAAATCTTTCTGTTTTTTAAATTTATCTCAAAAGAAACTACAGCAAAAAAACTGCATAATTCTATAAATATATTATGCAAAATGTTCAGTTACAGGGTGAGAAAAATAAACAAATCATATATTTTACATTTACTTATGCAATATCACCCACATTTACATTTTCTGAAAAAAAAAAAATCAATAAACTCTTTTACTTACTTTTTCTGCCCAATTTAACAATTCCCTCATATCTGGTTTATGTTGTGAAGAGCCCCCTAAAAATATTTTTAAAAATAAATTTACTTAAAATCTAAAGATATATATATATATACAATGAATAATTAATAAAAATAATATTTCATTATTGTTCTAAGCATTAATCATTATTAAGATATTATACTTATGAAATGTTTAAATTACAAAACTTGTTTATGTTCCAAAAATAGGCAATAGAAGAATATCAAAACAAGTATTTGATAATTAAAAATAAATTAATTTATTTAATTTTCAAATCTTGCAGAAATTAAATTTTTAATCTTAATGGTTTGGGCAATCGTCAGCAATGGGATAACGGATTATTTATATTTTTCCAGATAATATAATTATACGCAAATAATTTTATAATCATTCAATAATATAATAGGCCTATATAAAACTCGCTTCATACTATGTTTTAATGGTTTACAAAATAAGTAATGTAAAAAGATAGAAAAAAAACATAAGTTTATTACGAAATCTTCTAGTTTATTAATGATAGGATTTATTATTTATTACTCTATTCGCTTTTCCTATCGATGTTATCGATATTAAAGAATGGAAAATATACCTTAATTTTCTTCTAGTGGCACTAAAAATATCAAATTTACAACTAAAATATACAATTGACCTAGTAGAAAATTTCTCTAGTTAAAACCATTCAAAGTGGTCAATGGCCTGAATAACTATAACTTTTTTCCCTTTCTATTTTTTTCCCCCGAGATATTGCTGAATTTGATTGCATCATACACTAGTAAAAAAAATCGGGATTTTTTGGAATATTCTAAAATTCATATTGTTTAATGGGTTTTTATCTTAAATCAAATTGAAATGTGATTGATTATATTGGAAATTAACTGAATGAATAGGAATAGCCCTGGGATAAAGTTCAGAAACGAGTTTTGCTTCTTGGAATGTTGATACTTCCTAAAAAAGGTTCACCCATTCTTAAAAATTTTTATCTACATTTTATAACATTGTCTTAATAAGTAATCATAAAAATTGCATAATTTACGACCTTTTAAATATACAGTAACCGGTAATTAACATTTTAATCGTTAATCATACAAGCTAGAGATACAATTTAAATAAATGTATCGTAAAATCAGCTAAGTTATTCACGTATACGTTATTGTAAACAACTGATTCTCCCCCTTCTCAACTCTACCTCATAGTTCTTTCTTGAACTTGGTTCACATAGCGGTAATCCCGTCAGCAGACTACATCCATTTTTTGATTTTTCACCTCAAAAATTACTAACGTTACGTATGTAAATACATCCGAAACACAACAGGAATCGACTTAATCCACAGATATAAGGTGGTAATACAACAGACTGACAGAATGAACTTTAAAAGTGGTCAGCGTCCCCTATGATTCAAAGTTGTCAAACCGGTCGCTTATGCTACTTTGCGAGGCGACTTTAAAAATGCAAAGGGTCTTTTCCTCTTCCAATTAATGAATATTTCAATTGGTTCAGAACTTCTGAAATTCAAAATGTAATACATGTTTCGAAGAAAATTCAATTTCAAATTACCTATTCCAAACAAAAAGAAACATACAAATCAATACGATCTCCGTTTGCCCTTTCTGTCGATGCAACTTCTTTCCCGAATGCGGAAAGATTAAAAAAGAAAAATTCTTTTACTATTTTTTCCCCGAACTGAAATTTTAAAAATTAAATTTTCAGATGAAATATTGAATGACATCTGCGTTTTCCTGTTTTTTTTTTTTTTTTTTTTTTTGAGGAATATAAACATAACGCGAAACTTTGAAGTCTTTGTCATCCAAATACACTCGGAATAATTTAAATGTTGAAAATGTAGTAATGAAATAAACTATACCACGAATAAGAATAAAAATATGAGTATAAACTCGTAAAATATTTTATTTGATAATTTTTACGAAGAAATTACGTTAACAATGAAAGCAAAAGTATTTATGGACATATTTGATAAGAATTAGATTATAAAGCACTTAGCTTACATATTCGGCAGATTTATCGCATCCCATCTGATATGCAAACATCCGCAAGAAGATTCTCTATAATCTGATTATACAGTCAAGAGAAGCGTGTTTCTCGAAAGTTAAACAAGACAGCTAAAAAGTATTTTCGAAGTACTAAAGTAACCGAATAGAGAGGCATTATCAAGCAAAACTTCTCAAAATATATTTCCATTTACTCGTACTGGAACTTAATTCGAGAATACACAATAAATTTAAAATATGCCCCAATTTATTTAATGAAAGTTGATTTGATACTAATAAGATTTTCTCTTCGTTGCACGTAAGAGAAAAGAAATTTTGAAATACCAAAGACTTCCTCTAGTTTGAATACTTCAATGTGTCAACGTATGAGAGTAGGTCATATCGATTGTTAAGCGAAGGACATTTCTTATATTTTTTACATATAATAACCATAGAATAACCACTTCCTTCTTAAATAGATCATTGTTTTTTTGTCATTATCTTTTGTAATTCGAGAACGTCATTTGCGAAAGAGCAATTGAAACCCAATACAAAAGAAAATTCGAAAAAAAAATTNAAACTAAAAAAAAAAAAAAAAAAAATGGAAGCATTTGATTGTGCCACTATCCACATCGACAAAAAAATCGAACACTCGATATCAGTGTATTTTTCCAATAATATATTCAACTTTTTATAATAAATTATCTACATTTTAATGTACTGTTTCTAACACAATCAAAGCATTTTAAAAAAATATATAAAGTTTAATTATAACCATTAACATAAATTATGAAATAAAACAAAATTTTATCATTAGTTTAATTTGTTAAAAGTTTTTATATCGGTTTATTTTAAGGATAAATTCTGAATACAAAGTTTTACAATGAATATTTATGCATCTGTAATAAGTTTTTTGATATTTATATGCATTTATAATGTATAAGCATTATACAATACTTATATTTATAGAAAAAAAATTCCTGGTATAAATTTAATACCGATTCTTCGATTTACTTTTCGTTGAAATTGGAAAATCATTCAATAAAACTGTACACTTATAAATCGTTATATAAATAGAGTTTAGAATTACAATTTCTTTCAAAAATTACTTTCATCACAATTTTAATATAAGAAATTTATTGATTTAAATGTTCACAAAACATATTCGAAATATTAAAAATTCAATTTAATTTATTTAAAAATAGGTTTTCTGTTTATATTTATAAATGCTTTTAAATATCTCATATTTTAAACAACATATTTAAATTTAACTAAAATATGCATCATTTAAGTAAAATAAATATTATAATTTAAAATTAGTATTTTCTTTACATCCAAAAATTATGAAAGACTCCAATTTAATACTTTTATATACTTAATTTATTTTAAAAAAATTTATACTAAATAATTCGTTCTGTAATTAAAAACAAGTATTAAATTAGAGAGTAATTTTTTTTCGTAATTATTTTACACTACAAATTTATTTAAAACTATAAAATTGCTTAATTTTATGCCATTTTTTTATCGTGTAGATATATTTAGTATGTATATCTACACTATACATTTAAAATTGAAATTATTAATGCATAATAATGTATTTTCAATGACAGTTACTATTTTGTAAACTATATTTATATGGCTTCAATACGATTCATTTATATAAACTAAATCTCAGTTTCTCATAAATAATTCAGAAAACAGATGTTACACTGAATACACAGTATATCAGTAGTATTTTTATTTTTTTAAGAATTCAAGCTCTTAGATTATCCTAGTTAAAGAAATTGCTGGATGTAAGTTATCTTGTATTTGATTTTTTCCGAATAAAGGCAATTTACCATTTCAAAACTTACTTCTTCAATATCGGTTTACGAAAAGATAGTAACTATTCGAGTTTCATCTTCGAAGTCGGTAAAAGATCAATAAAAAGCTATGAGCAAAAAAATAGCCCTTCAGCGTGAAGAAAGTGACAAACATCCTGCTGTCAATAACAGTGACGGAAAGTGTAAAAAGATTTCGGCAACCTTAAAATTACTGACATGTCACCTTGTCAAATACACTATTGAAAACAACTGTAAAATGCTACAAAAACTAACGCTATAAACATAATTTGCATAAGGCTAATAAAAAATTCACAGATATAAATATTTAAATTTTATTTTACAAGATACTAATATTAATAAATTACCAGAATCCTGTGCAACATTGTGACGGAGATGAAAGGTAACTTCTTTTTCGTACGGTCCCCACTGACGCAAAATATCCCAAGGTCTTTCGTCTTCGCTTACAAAACGTTCTAGTAAATAAATACATAAATAAATTAAACACAATATTATAAAAATAAATTAATATAATAAAGTTAATTATTTATTTCTTTTTTTTTCGATTTTCTAACGAATCGGGAAATAGAAATTTATGAACTACCGAAGATGCCAATTTTGATATTTTGTGTCATTCTTCTAAAAAAAAATTCCCACGGAAACGAAAGTAAATGCAATTTAATGGTTCGTAAACTGGTTATTATCCAAAACGAAAACTTCTCGAGGGCATCAAACGTTTTGTACACACGACTACATTTAATTATAGAAGGCTTCGCGAGAGAACTTAATTAAAATTTTAAATATTTCTAAGCGATTGTGACGAAAGTCTTAAATAGATGTGAAATGTCATCTATACATAAACAAGATCTAAAGCAGACAGGAAACAATTTGAAAACAATGCAAAGAAGGTTAGCAATATCTGAACTTACCGCAACCTCTCCAAATCTCCACCAGATGACAATCGTCTTCTCCCGGTTCTCGACAGCAATCGATGACGTCCCTTCCAGTCGAATCTGGTGTTATAGGAACTTCAGTGGCTTGCACACCATCGCAATAAACTTTGAGAATTATCTAACAAATAAATAATTTCTAATTTTATTTTTTTTAAATCTCATATTTTTATTCATATTTTTAGAATTTTTATTTAAAAAATTTCTAGAAATATAAAGAAACGGATATTTTATTTGAAGTGTACAGATGGACGTTGCCTACCTAATCTATCTTCGAATACAGGCATTGGAATCTGCTTGGTTTGACATTTAGATACGCCCGTAAGCTTGCCTGTCTAAAAAACGAATGGCTTCCCTTTTTAAAAAATTTTGATATTAAAATCCAACAAGAGAATCCATCTCCAAATTTCAACCGGAAATATTTATCCAATAAAATATAAAACACGTCTTCCTTTAACCGCAGCTAGCTTTCAGTTTGAGACATCGCCAATTGCATTGATCTCTTTCAGATTATTATTGAAGATAAGCGAATAAAAATAAAATAACTTTTTTTCAATGCCGAAGATATTATGTGACGTTAATATATTAATACCGCCACCGAAATTACGATTTACCTTCCTCTACCGAGAACGCAGATAAATGTTATTTTAGAACTCAACTCTTTTTCCCATATTATTCTGCAGCGATAAGAATGTCATAATGGCCGCTGACGTCAGAAGCGACCGAGCGATTTTAATTGGTGACGATAAGCGAAGAATCGCTTACGAAATCTTCGAAATGCATTAAAGTGAATTTAAGTTAATTTTCGAAGCCAGTTTTGCGAAAAACGACCTTTAAAAACTTCCTACTCATCGGTAGAAAGAGGTCAAACGGGCGCCAAACATCTCAAAAACTTTGGCTTATTTTGCAGCAAGGACAACAACTAAACTTATTGTTTGAATGCAAATTTCTTTCTAACGATTTTAATAATCTCATTTTGGCATATTTATATTTGTAAGAGGCATCGAGACGTAATGCATAAAAAAGAGACACTAGTTTCGGTGGAACGGAATACGAGAAGAGTCACAAATAAACATGCAAGCTGTGCTCGATGTATAGAAGATTTTTGTAAACAGATCAGATTGAAAAGACGATAACTACGACGATTCAATAGTTCGTTAAAGCCAGCAATTATTCTATGCCTATTCATTTTGTCAGAATTCTTAACAAATTAAAGTTGCTAAGGGTAATGAAGCGTACTATAAATGATAAAACCCGTCATTTTCCTGCAATTCTGGCTTCTCTGCATAATACACGAGTGATGTGCGAATGCTTTACAACCGGAGCCAGTCTTTTATCCGCTTTATTTATAGTAATAAATAAATACGATCCGAGAAACTGCTACGTTTAAAGTATTTTTAACTAATTAATTTTTTTTTCTAATTTTAATACATCTTTAGATTTTCGCTATCATATTATTTCGGAAATTACCGCAGATTAGCTTATAATAATTAGCAATTAAAAGATCTTAAGTGTAATCTCTTCCAATAAAATTTTTTTATCGAGTTTTATTTTTAAATTAAATAATTAAACAACATCAAAAGCTGACACCTCTTAATAAATTACGTGAAAACTAAAGATAGTGGCGCCATCTAACGAGCCATCACAATTGAGAAGCTGGTCGCGCCATCTTTCGTCGCAAAAAGAAAAGAATAAATATCGAAATATCGGTTATTTGCCAATGTTATTTTAATGTAATTTCGCTAAAGTTTTATTTTAAAAAATTTCAAATTATTAAGAATACTCACAGGCATCATTTGGACGCTATATTGAAGAGTGATTTACCCGCATTATTATAATTCCTTTGACTGAAATAAATAATATTGAAAATTTAAGAATTTTCAACAAAAACATTAACAAAATTAAATTTAGTAATTGTCAAGCCATACGAACAAAATATGTAATTAGCATTAATTCCCGTTCGTATTAATTAAACACATAAATTTTAATTTCTCAAACTTTAACGAAGTACAGTATTTTAAGCCGAAAATACTTATAATTAGCGATTACATCTTTAAACAAAGATGGGGAAAAAATCATTGAAAACTTAGAAATTATTATTTTTTAGTAGGTAATTATATATGCATATTTATTTCATAATTCGAAATATTTTATAAGAATCCTAAAATACTGTCATGTGTCAAGGGTGTTTCTTTAAAATAATGTCATTGGGACATTAGATGGTCGTCAGAACTCGTCCGACCTGTTTGTCTCTTAAAACCATTCTATTCTGACCTCCATCGGTAAAAGAAGGACGTAAGAAAATATTTAATTTAACAATAAACATTGGCAGTCATCATACCCGACACACAATACTCAGATAGTCGTCTCCTTCTAAATCCGGCCCGTATTAAATTACTATAAAGGCATCTAATACATTTACTTATGCTATAACAGCCCCGAGTCACGTGACATCCTTTCAGGTTTGTTACAACACTCGGTAATTTTTCTTTTACGCGATCAATGTCACGGTTAGCAGACCACAATGTTTCTAGGAAAGGTTAGATTGAAAAGAAAACTATGAATATGAACAATTAACATTCCAGACACTTCTTTCCCAACTTATATTACAATTGTTAACTTATCTGACCGATACTTTTGTTCGGTGATAAAAAAATTAAGTAATAATAATAATAAAAAGTAGTATGGCCAATACGTAGTTAAAAACGAAATATTATTTTTTCGCGAGACTTTACGACAATGGTTAGCATTTTATGTATCGGAGACATTTCCGTGCAATTCGTGAAAGATATGAAAAAAAAAACAAAGCTGGTTTTTGCACAATGTAATCTGCTAATCTGAAGAAGTGAATGATTCACTTGGCGCTTACCAGCCAGAAATCGCTGGTTAATGGCGACGGTGGCCATTCATCGGTTTAAACCGGTATTTTTTCGCGCTACCGGTTAAAATAACTTTTAAACAAACATTTTTCGCCTTAGCGCTTATTAGAAAAATATTGCTTGAACGAAGTAATGCCCGATTTGCCCAAAGCATTTTTCAAACAATCATCGGGAGGGGGAAAAAAGAAAAGATATTAATGAAATGGAGGCGAAGCCAAACAGAACAAAACGAAAGCAATCAAGGTCGTAACTGCTTCTCTTAATTGGTCTGAGAGGAGAAGCAGACGTAGCGTTACGCTCCAGCAAATCGTTAGACGATGAGTTTTCCCGCCAAATCTCACAATCAAAAAATACATCAAACAGCAACGAACGTTACCCAGAAATCTCGGATAAATTCCTTCAATTTATTCCATTTATTTCAACGAATTCATCATAATATTTTCCTATTATCTCGTATATTAATTTAATAGGGCAATCTTTACTGAAAAAAAATAAATAAATAAACTGACGACTGACAGGAAGAAACACGTTGATAACTCGAATTAAATAATAAAATGGGGTCGCATATATTATTTTTTAAACGTCATATTAGGAGCGATCTGCCATGCATTTTAAGGGGATAATGTTTTTTTGTAACCTTGAAATTTGGCGCCAAATTATAACAATGTTAACATATGCAATTATTTCAGTTTTTTACTCTTTCGTTACGAATTTTCCATTGTTTATTAGATTTTAATTGAATATATAGAAAAATAAATATAAACAGAAATGCAACGTGTATCAATTTTAGATATGCAACTGAATACAAAGTTAAACTAGATAAATAATTACAGATAGCAGTGACCTATTTAAAGGACTTCCTATTGATTACAATTAATATTACCAATATTGGAAAATAAGTTAAAATGTATAAAATTTCAGTCTTTTATACCTAACTTCTTGCAATTAAAAAGTATTTTATTTTTATTTTTATTTTTAATACAGACTTTTTAAATAAATTTTTAAAAGTTATTTCTAACATTGCGGCAGAAATTAATTATCAAATCGAATAAGTTAACGAGAAACTTGACGAAATATTATAACAATAAAGCGCTAAATGATAAATTTAATTTCAAAATTCGTGATAAGGTTTATCTAATAAAAATTAATACAAATTTTTTTTTAGAAAATGTATTTTTTTACAAAGAATAAAAATAATATTTTTACGATAACAAACAGCAAAGTGTTAAACTTTTAATACACTGTTTTTTTATTATTATCTATTTATCTTTAAGATTGAGTACATAGAAACGCGAATATCCCCCGATAAGAAGTTTAGTCAACAAAATTGCATTTACATCCTCATTAATTAAAATGAAAATAAAGGCCTTCAAATTGCATCTGGTAATAGGAAGGTGAGCGTGACGTAACTACGTGATAGTCAACGGCACGTCACACCATGTTGAGTTACATGAGTCACTGCAAATTTTCTCACCACCACTAATCGATGTAATATCTGATTAATCAATAAGTATTATAATCCGCCGTACCATTTTAAAAAAATAATTGTAATAACTAAAGAAAACCTCACGTGGCTCTACTTCAGCCTACACGTATATTTTGATTGCAATCTGACCCTTTCCAGAGATTTTTTTTTCTGTTTAAAGATACATTACAGGTCAGTGGAGTAACTCCAGGCTGTTCTCGACCACCCTACAGCATTATTTTTATTTATTCCACTCCAAGGAAAAAATATACAAGTTGTAAAATAAACCATTAAAATAACCTAAATACTATTTTAACACCTGCGAGATGATAGATAGGATAATAATAACGATAAAACTTAACATGTTTAAATAATATTCAAAAATAGCGCAATTTCGCAACCAATGTTATACGTGGGAAAAGCAAAAGAAAAAAAAAGTAATAAAAAAAAAAAAAATGAAAATTGACCTTCGTTGCGACTTGTGGAAGTTTTAAGAGGTAGACTACAAATTGGGAGGGGGCGATTTAGGGAATGTTTTCATATTTTAGCAAAAGTACATCGGGCAGGGATTCATAGACCGATCATCTACGACGACATCATATAAGTACAAGGTCAACTGCATCTACAACAATCTTCCTTCAATCTACTATATTGGCATTTTTTGAACGGATCACCTACACGTTTTAGAAACGTTTATTTAACTACAATCATCGGTATTATTTAATTATTCTAAATATTATAATTCGAGCTGCACTCACCCAAACTCGACAGGATAATCGGGATAGTTACAGGTGACTCCTCAGACAGGTAATAAAATCTCCATCGTATCTCTTGCTCTATTAACTTTATATTAAAAAAATCCTAAAAGTTTTCTTAACATTTCTTGCCTCTGCCGATGATATTGCAATTCTTTAATGTTTTATTTACAATAGTTTTCAACATTCCACTTGACTACAGTCCGCCAGACTTCAAAAACTCTTCTTTTTTTAATTACGCATGCGTTAAATCATACGTCATAGATGGTACGTGAGTTGCAACCAATAAAAACGGTTGTTGTGACGTCACACTATTCCAAGAAATCGTTTAAAATGGCGGGAGATGTTCTGTTAGTTGTTCGCAGTTTCTGTTATCTTGAATTAGAATAAACGAATTCCCAGTCATTTAGCAGAGGTTATTTTCCGTATTTAAATGTTTTAAAAGTGTATATGTAAGTACTTAATGATGTCGCGTTATTTGCTTCTAGTAACATCAATAATAATTTTCATACTAATAAAATAAGATCGATAATGATTACGAAACTAACATGGATATTATTTTAATGCGTCTTGATTACGGTATTGTTTATAAGTTAAATTTCTTACGTTATATAATTGGTTGACCCTTTTTTTAATATTTTTGTCAGGTATTTGCCAAAGCTGTCATAACTTCGCCCTGTTTTGATGTTATTGATTTCCAAAAAACGCAAAGGAAATAAGAATGAAGAATCAAGGTTAGAATACAAAAGGGAATAAATTATACAATGTAATATATTGTGAAACATTCCTACAAAATATCAATGAAAACATTTTTACTTCACCTTGAATGTTAATAAAAATTTTGATAATAATAATTAAAGTTTTAAACAATGTAATTTATTAATACTTGGAATATTAAATAAGAGATACTATATTATTTTTTCACTTCTTTACGTTTATGTTTAAATTTTAAAATGAACAAATTTACAAATATAAAAATTTTTTTATTCCTTAAGTAATATTTGAAGTATACTAATGAGATAAATTTTGATTGTGTTAAATTATAAATATAGTTTGAATTTTATCATGTATAAAAATTGTTTTTAAATTTGTGCATTTAATACAAAAATTATTATGAATCTATTTTTGTACACTCAACATTATGCAGCTACAAGCAAGTCTATAAAATTTTTTGCTTGTTATAAAAGTTGTTTTAATATTTCAATTGAAAATTTTATCTTAAACATTTTTCTAGTAACTTTTCCATTTTTTCTTCATGAATATAGTTCACTTTAACCTTGGAAAGGCACTCTGGGATTTTTTCAAATCCAGTAATTTTTAAATAGCATTTCTACATAACTGTAACTGTTGTATATCATTGTCTCAGTATCTTTATTTCTACAAATTTATATTTGTTTTGTTATTAATTTGTTTTTTATAATGTTTTTTTTTATAAATAATTTTTCTATATATCTTAATATTATACTTAAGCTTTTTTCGAATAAAGTAACGTGTTTTTCAGCATTCTTTTTTTTTTTTTTTTTACTCCACATAATAATAGATTATCAACAGGGCTGTTGAGAGCTTGTACTGGGCTGCTTTAGTCTTTTGTTTTTTGAACAAATGAAATACATAAAATGTTTCTTTATTAATAAAAATAAAATTTTTATTTACTTTAAGTATTTAATAAAATTATATAGAAAATAAAATATTTGATTTTCTGTTAGTGAAAATATTGTTAATTTTATAGTGATAAGAATTTTTATGGGCCCATTAGTTTTCTCTGGGGCAAGGGAAAGATCCTCACCTCTTCTGTTGATGGTCCAGATTGCAAAAAATGATCAGCTTTTGGTATTTTGTTTTTGTATCCAATTCTTAACAGGAAATCATTGGGATTTTTAAGCTTCTTTCTTGTCAAGCTTACCAACTAAGCACAACTTGCTGCATATTATACCTTTCTTTGTTTATTGTTTCATCCATGCTAATTAAAATACAGGAATCTGTTATGCATTATATATATATATAATGATACATATATATATATATATATATCCTCCATAATCTGTAAGAACATTGAGATTAAGGGCAATAACAGCACTAGGATTTTCATTCTGGGGGGATGGAAGTGGGTGGAACATTGTTTTAGTGGTATGAGTGTTATATGTATATTTTATCATCAAACAAATTTTTAAAATATAGTAAACAATTTTCAGTAAGACAAAAGTGGAAAAAAAAATTTAGTGAGAACATGTAATTACTTTGAAAACAATCAGTTAATAATTAAAGAAACTTATAATAACAATCAATATAGAAGTCTTTAATAAATTATTTCAGGATAGGCAAGGAGATTTAGAGTGAGCTGGTAGTCATCCTTGTTCATCCTAGCATCATCCATGGTTAAGAGAGTACAATTGTATAATTAAGTTCTGGCTTTTTTGTAAGCACATTTTAGGTTTATGCAGATTTGCTAGATTGCAGATTAGGCTTAATGTAGATTTGCAAGAAACCAATCTAGTGCACTTTTTTGAAAAAGAGTTATGCACCTTTGCCAATGGAATACTGACAGTTAAAAGGTTAATAGAGCTGAAATGAAAAATCCTCCTTAATTTGAAAGATTCTTCTACCATTGTCTGATTGAATTTTGTCAGAAGTGTTTGTTTATTTTTTCTTGCCTTTTTCTGTTTGACATTTTCAGCAGGACTACTTGGACTATTTGTTTTATTATGCTATTTAAACTGATACAATAAACTGCAAGAAATCTGTACAAGTGATTGAATAAATTATTCTCATTTGCATTATTAAATATCAGCATTATTAAATATCAGCATTAAGGTTACATTAACCTTTTACCTTTTACTTTTAACTTTACTTTACTTTTACATTAACTTGTTTACCTTTTTTCTCACATACTTTAAAATTCTATTTTTCCATTAGTTGTGTATATACTTTGATTTTATCCATTCTCTTAGTTTGATCAAAAATGATTTTTGTTCTTTTGTCATTTTGACAGAAATAAGAATATACAATAAGCCGGCTTGCTGATTTTAAAAATTTGTTAACTGCTTATATATCAGGAATGCTACACATGCTGTTAATATAATGATAAGGGATGTAATTCATAGGTATGTTGTAAGCAGTTATGCAGAAAAGTAACTGATTGCAATTTCTAATTAACTTAAAAAATATAATTTATTATAAGTACAAATTATCTGAAAAGTAATTTAATTAAATTACAAATTATTTGTTTTAAAAACTGAAACTATGTTTAATATTAAATTAATTGTACAATTTTTACTATTACTGTTTTTATTTGTAAATTGATTTTGTTTTTTTCCCCAAAAGTTGTTGACATAAGGGATACTAAATAAATAATATGTTATCTCTAAAATTATGTATCAGATTAAAAAATAGTGAAGCTATTTTAAAAATACTTAAGATGTATCTTAAAGTCACTTCAGTGGAAAAGAAAGATGCAGAGAGAATAATCCTCCATTATGGAGAATGTGTTACACTGTTTTGAAAATCATTCTTAGTCAACTGAATTTTTTCTAACCCATGCACAGTGTGATTCTAACCACAGCATAAAATTTAAAATTTTGGAATGATTAGTTTTTAAATTAAAATTTGCCAACCAATGAAATACATATTTTCTATCACCAAATGTAAATTGAGTGGGAAGTCTAACAATATCAAATTGTTTAACTATTGATAACAGATTAGAAATGAATAAAATTTATTGACGATTTAAATTTCTAAATATGTTATCTTTAGACCAATTAAGTCTATAAAAGGTTCAAATATGTAAAAATATGTATTAAATATCTAACAACATAACTACTTATAAATGTGTCCTGAAACCGTGTTCATGTAAAATATGTATTAATAAAATTCTATTTTTTTAAATTCATTTTTGACTGCTACATAAATATTTCATTTCAAAATGAAAGAACATGCATTGAACAAAACATGTAATTACATAAAAATCTGAGGCTATGATTAGAATATAAAATAAGGCTATGATTAGAAAAACAAAAATTGAAAAAGAGCTTTGTTTGTTGTTGTTTTAATAAGACTTTTCTGCATATTTTTCAGGTAGACTTATTCAAATATTTTCTGTAATATTGTATTAATGCTTATTTCATAGGCTATAAGATGATTTTTTCCTTCTAAATTCACTGATTTTAAAAAACAAGAATTTTGTAGTTCACCCAAATTTTACAGCTAAGGAAATTTTCACCTGAAATTCTCCTGTAAAACATCATAAGTTTTAATATAAGTCAAAACTCCACATTGGTGGCCATTTCAAGTGGTTATGGTGGGAATGCCCAAAAGTGACATTTATACCTGTTCACATGGCCAACAAAATAAGGAAACACTGCATTCCTAAACTTGATGTATTGTTGAAAGCACTTTGCTGCTATAGTTTTGGAACAGTTACTGAGTTCCCTCCAACAAATGACATTCAAATGAAATAAATCTTCATGAACACTTGAAAAATTAAATTTATCTCTAGAATTTAGTAAGATAAGAGACAATTATGTATTTGTTTAATAATTTTATACCAAATCTGATTATATTTTGTAAAATTATAACTGTAAATCAGTGATGATCTCTTTATGTCACTGATACATCATTTGCAACACTCAAAAAAGAAAGATTGATAATTTTGTAAAAATCACTTTATTAATTTTTTTGAATGTGTGGACACTTCTGCATATCTAGTAACTTCCATTTAATAATTTTTTTTTTTCTGAATTCTTCTGTACAGTATTTAAATAAAATCTTTGATATAATTTCTTAAATATATTAATTTAATCTAATAAGTACTAAACAATTCTGTTTTGTACTATACAGTCCTTGAATGAATCCTACTACAAACAGCTAGACTTATCTGTATATGTGGGCAGAAATTGTATACCCTGAATGTGGTCACATAAGTGAGGCTTTACAGTATTCTAAATTAATCTATGCAATACATACAAAAATGTAAAAGTTCTTCCAAAAAATCAAATATTTATAATAGGAATGACTTAAAGGTTATTTAAAAAATAACTGTAGAGCACAAGAAAAAGATTAATAAGAGATACAATCTTAGCTAAATGAACATTAAATGAAAATTTAAGCCAAAATGAGGTGAATCCAAAATATTTTTGCAATGAAATGAAAAGAGTATTTTTGGTAATCTTAAAAAAATTCAAAAATGTTTTAATTAAATTTAGTTTTAAGAAAATGCTTGTAATATGTTAACGTTGCAATTATCAGAGATCTATAACTATATTTTTTGATAATGTATTGAAAAAGAAATTAGCATATTATAATTTTACATAAACTGTGTTGTTAAAATTTAAATGTATTCAAATGCTTATTCATAGTACCTTCTTATCAGATTGTCAAACAAAAATTCAGATCTATCTGAATTTTTGTTTGACAATCTGATAAGAAGATACTTTGAGTAATAAAAGCAAAATGCTTATTAATTTTTGATTTTCTTTAAATAATTTTAAGAAAAAGTATTGTTTACTCATTAATTTATTATTTTATTTTATTATACAGCCTTATTTTAGATATAGTGGAATCTGTTAAGAGCAGAAAAAAGGAGTTTGAATAGGTTTCCCTCTTGTGATTTTTTTTGCTGAGATTATTGGAAGATAGGTAAGAAAAAAATTATGGAATAAATTAAAACAATCAAATAAGACTATATGAGATATGTTGATGACTTTATAATTTGGAAAGGTAGAGATATTCCATCTGGTTTTTTAGATAAGTTACAGATAGAACTTTATTTTGGAGAAAGGGCAGATGAATTAAAATATATATATATATATATACAGTAGAACCTCCATTATTCGGATTTTCGATTATCCGGATTGTTCAAAATAAACAAAAATTTTACGAATTACGACACTGTTTGTGTACGTGATGGAATGCATAACTTTTTTTGTTTCAACGTCTCACCCAGCAGAGTGGTCGTAAACTCTTAAATATATTTTACATAGTAATAAAAATATAACTTGACATACGTATTTATAAATAATTTATATTCAAATTACATCATTTCTATGACCAAGGGCGGCGTAAGGCATGGACGACGTGGGCCACCGCCTATGCCTCGCGGTCCGAAGGGCCTCGCGCCTCGAAGGTTTATGCATTACTTAAAAGCCGCGAACGCGACGAAAAAATTTTACTCGTCATAAAACGATAAATAGTTTGTCAAATTTTTATTCATAAAAATGCAGTTTCAACTGCTTTTTATTTTATAAAATCCGTCTTCTTGCGCCACCAGAGGGCCTTTTAAACAATAGGTAGTCTGTTAGCGTTGGTCAGTAGTAGTCCAAATTCAATACGAACGTTTGTTTCTTGAAAATTTGATCACGATTTAAATACAGTATTTACTTTTAATATTACCGATATGTCATCGAAAAGAAAACGTGTTGTATTATCATTAAAAGACAAATTAAAGTATTTATTTTGATTATCCGGATTTTTCCTTATCCGGACTACCTTCATCCCCAATTAGTCCGGATAATCGAGGTTCTACTGTATATACAAGGTGCATTCCATAAGTAATGTGACCAAATTCATAAAAACATCATTTATTGAACATATTTTTACAATTAGTCAAAAATTTTCGAAATAGCACCCTCCTGCATTGATACACTTGTGAAGGCAGTGTTTCTGGGCCTTGAAGGCATTCTGGAAGGCCGCCTCCGGAATGTCCTTTAGAGCTGATGTAACATAAGCCTTGATGTTTTCAGTCGTGTCCCATTGTTTCCTTTTCATGCAAGGAAACAGAGAAAAGTTGGCGGGAGCCAGGTCAGGACTGTAAGGTGGCTGTGGAACAAATGGGGTGTGGGTCCTGGCCAGGAAATCGTTGACAGTGAAGGTGCTGTGGCTTGGCGCATTGTTGTGATGAAGTTCCCTTGTGTCCTTGATGTCACTTCGACAGTATGTGACTAGGATTTCAGTCTTTTGAACACTTCCAAGTAGAAAGCTGCATTTACAGTGGTCCTGACAGGTGTGAATTCGTGGTGGTTAATGCCTCTGATGTCAAAGAAGACAATTTGGAAGGTTGATGAACATCCACTGCAAGTTTTGTCGGTGATCTCCTCTCGGTCATCCTTGAACGACTTGTGCCATGGAAAGACTTGTGATTTGGAGAAGCAATCACTCTCAAAGGCCTGCTGAATTAATGTAAAAGTTTCATTGGCGGACTTTCCAAGTTTAATGCAAAATTTGATAGCGTAACGTTGCTCCACAAAATGATCCATTGCTCTGTGTTACATTAACTCAAAATGGGATTCACGGGAACGAATGTTCTCACACGCTGGCAGCTTGGAGGCAAACAAGACCGGGCGAGTTTTAAAGCTAACACCCCACACCACCTAGCACAGCAGGTTAGAACTAGCTACGGCATATTGTCGTGTCGTGAAAAAATTAGTCACATTACTTATGGAACACACCTTGTATATATACATACACATTTCCTTGACTTATGAACTTCTGTGCTTATGACAATTAAATGTTAAAGGCAACAATGGAATGGGCAATAAACATTCTCTATACAACAGTAACTGGTAAGTTTATTAATTTTTAACTATAACTTGGATTTGCATCATTAGCAATTCAAAAGTAAATATAAAACTAATTTTCTGCAGAGTTGCCCATTCCAAGATAATCATTAAAATTTCAATTCTCTCTGAATTCAATTTTTTGCCAAACTTGAGGCAGCATATCTGTCGTCACTTTGGTAACTGCAATAGTGATTTGAATTTTGAGCTCAGCGAGATTTGCAGGCAATGCTGGAATAAACACTAGATCTTTAATAAAACTTCATAAGGAAAAATTGAGGTGTGTGAAATCTGGGAAGTAGGATGGTCATGTTCTAGATCCTGTTTAACATTCACCAATCTCAGAAACATTTATTGAGGAAATCCTGAACATCGTATGGTAGTAAGGTGATAATAGGTGGTTTTAAGTGCAAATGTCTTTATGAAACTTGCCAGATCATTGGCTATGAAATGCTAATTTCATGAGATGCAATTTACATTGATTTCCTAGAATTACAAATGAAGCTCAGCTTCTTTTGTTTCATGACAGAATTACAAACACATGGGCAACCAGGGAATTTGTCATGGAGAATAGAACAACAACCAATCTCAGAATTTTAGTACCAAAAATTGTAGGTCTACTTACAAGATCCCTATGACATTGGTTGTGAAAATTCTGTTTAATCATTGTTATGGATCTTGTTTTCCCAAATCAAAACACATAGTGAGCATATTTGTATCAATGAAAGCATACATTTTAAAATGCATGCCTCTCAGTGACAGAATTTGATGTGTTTTGCTGTAAATCAACTGATTCTGTAAGTCTGACCAAAATTCTTTATGCTCTGAAAATTGTAATGTCAATGTCAAAAGTTGTGAATCATTCTGTATTATATAGACTTTGTTTAACTTTAGAAACTCTGTCCCAATGCTGCCATTATTATTTATGTTTGACTTATGACAGAAGTCCTAGAATAGAACTCTTATCATCAGTTGTAGTACCTGAATATGTAAGTTGCATTTTATGCAACTGTAACCTTGCATAAATTCCAACAAGCAACAAAAAAAATACATTGAGATTTCTATTTGAACACCTAAGATCAACTGATCTAGTTTAAAAGTTTTTTATAATCCTTTGTTCTATTATTATGCTATTGCTATCAGGAACAGAATGACTAAACAAACAGTCAATCTGGAAACTAGAATCATAAACAATATATAAAACTTTCAATAAATAATCTCAGATATCCTCCATGATAGGATTAAAGTCACAGAATCCTAGGATAGATATTTGATTATATTTTGTGTGCAGAAGTCTCAAAATTGTCTGGATCAAAGGGGTACGGTTTAGCTTTATTCATTAATAAAACTAGTAATATAACTAGTAAAAGATCAATAAAAGTACAATAAAAGGTCAACTGCTCTGTAAGAGTGTTCCTGAGTATATGGATGAAAGATGACGAGTTTCTGTTTTCTTCAATTATTTTCTTATAAAAAAATTTTTTAAATATTCATGTTTACAATATCAGTTATTTTTTTAATAATTGAAGAAATCTGTTCAATTATTAAAAATTTGTAATAGTAATAGTTTTTCAGCTCAATTTCAGCTTTTGTTAAGCTTAACTAAAGTAAATAAAGGGAAAAACTAAAATCAACCTTGCCCTCTCTTTATTTTTGTCATTATCAGGTTGCAATTTGAAAAAGAATTGTAGATGAAAGATGAGACCAGATATGGACACCTTAAGGGCAGGAGGCTCTGATTAACTATATGTAGCCTTCTGATGCAAACTGGAAGTCATGTTATTTTAATTCAAAAATTTTTTCCTGAAAGGTGTTAGATGACCAGCACGATTCTATTGTTAAAGGAAAAGAAAAGTATGATGTATAGGGGCAAGCCATTACTAATTTGAGGTGGAGATCATTTAAATTAAATATGACTAAAAATTGCACCCTTTTATTGTGATGATGTCACAATAAATAATATATTGTATAGCTTCTAATGAATAGCTTATCAAAAAAAGAATGAATAATCTGAAAATGCATGTACAAGGCAATAACAATGTATGTATTAGATTTAATTTCTTATATTTTGTCTTCAGCAAAAAGCATGTATAGGTGTTAAAAGCATTTAATAAAAGAAATATATGGAAGCTAATAGGTTGGAAAAGAATCGTAGTCAGAATTCTGTCAGTTATTCAGCAATCATTAATAATAATAATATAATAGGTATCTAGACTTTGTAAAAGTTTTGAAAATTTTATTTTGAATGTGTAAAAATTAAGAAATTTTCAAAAATAATTTGAGAATTTGAATATTAAAATTTATATAATATTTTTCAGTTTAAAATGACTGACAGAATCATCGTTTTAGTGGATATGGATTGTTTTTATGTACAAGTTGAACAACGACTGCAGCCACAGTATTTTGGGAAACCCTGTGCTGTTGTGCAATATAATTCTTGGAAGAGTGGAGGGTAAGAAGTAGAAATTATTAATATTTGAAATTTATTTTTATTTAAAATATAAGAATATCTGATTCTCAAATGAAATTTATTTTAATTTAAAACTGATTTGAATAATAATAATAGAATATACAATAACATATTAAACCAAACATATGCTATAAAAAGAAAAGTTGTGTTAACATTATTTTGTTTATCGGAAGTCTTTCTGCCATATAGGCAATAAGAGTGCTTTTTTCAGGCTTATTGTTGCCTGATTGAATTCACAATGGGTGGCTGGATGGTGAAGGAGGAGTCCAACATATCCAGGACAATACCACTCAAAAACTTCTCAGGGTTCATTCCCCATATTTGATCCATGGTTTCCAGGGTAGACTTGCACCTTTACTGCTTCAGTCATCCAGCTGTCCATGTTAACATTTTAAGCCATAAAAACTAATAAGTAAACTTTTGACAATTAAAAGCAAGCATTTTTTAAAAACATTTATTTAAAAACTAATTAAATGGTATATTTTCTGATTTAAACATTAACAATGAAATTTTTTAAACCATTTAATACAAAGATTTAATATTTTTTCAATAATGAGAAAGGATTTGAAAATAGTAATGTATAAAATCACTCTTGAATTTTTTGTAAAGTTAGGCATTTCTAAAAATGTCTTACAGGATTAGATTTTAAAAAGTAGTTAAAAATACAAATTAACAATATTTATTTTAGATAAATATTGTAAATTACACAGATTTCAGATTCAGTCAGATAAAAATAAATTTACATTGAAATACATTAGTATTTTTAAAACATTATTATTTAAAGTAAAATTTCAAATTAATAGTGTTATTCTTCCAAAAAATTTCTCAGTTTTTTTCTTTCTTTGGTTACCTGTTATATCTTAAAATGCAGACATTAATGAACTGTTCTGAAAATGAAAAAGTGTGAAAATTACATTTTTTTATTTTTATTTTCACAAATTTGTTGATTGTATAACCAAAAAAAAGTTAATTTTTGATAAGTTATTTTAATTTTACTATTTTGATGAATTAATTATTATTAGTAATAAAAAAGGATAAGTTAAAAAAAATCACTTTTTTCCCTTTCAGACCTATACAGTTTTACAGTTAAAGTTTATAATTAAAAAATTACATAAACAGGGTGAGTCACTTAGTTTCTGAAGAAATTAACACTCAAGGATCAGAATTCTTAGTTTAACTTAAATACAATAAAAAAATAGAATATAAAATAAATTGTCAAACTTTAGATTGAAGTATTGAAATTATACTGTATTTAAACTTTTTATTGAATTTTTATTTTCTTAAATATTGTAAAAGTCATGTTATTACTTTATAATTTTGTTAGAATTATAGCTGTGAATTATGAAGCTAGAGATTTTGGAGTAAAAAGAGGCATGAGAGGTGACATGGCAAAACAGAAATGTCCTGATATACATTTATTTCAAGTTCCTGAACTTCGGGGAAAGGCTGATTTAACAAGGTAACTATTTAAATTTGTTTAAGAAAATTGTTCCTTAAATTATATTAATTTTACATTTCATAAAATAAAATGTTACTTCTGCAGTTTTGTATTCTGGAGACATTGTATAATTTAAAAAGTGTAAAATTGTCTTATTCCTTTTAGTTTTTGTAGAATACAATAAAAAGAATGCTCCTGTGATTGATACAATAAACTATTATGATGGTTATAAGCTAAATTATAATTATGATGGAAAATATTCAGTTCTGAATGTTAAGCATGTTCTGCAAAAAATATGTATATTTTTTGCATGATATGTATGAAGGTTGTTGCAAGTTCATTTTCTGCTTCAAGCTTCTCTCTTGGTTTTTCTAAATTTAATTCAAGTTATTTAATCATAGATAAAATATGTCTGTCTACAATAAATAATTCTGACATTAATATAGTTTTTAACCTATGAAATAAATAACAAAAAATCAAAATAATCTTTGTAATTTATTGTTTGGTTTAACAACAAATATGACGAAGGTCTCAGCAAGGTGGGTGCCATGTCTGCTGACTGCCAAACAAAAACGTGTTTGCACTTTGGTGTCAAAGGAGTGTTTGGACTTCTACCAGAAAAATCCACAGGATTTCTTGCATTGGTTTGTGAATACTGACAAAACATGGATCCATTACTACACTCCTGAAACAAAAGAACAGTTGAAGCAATGGAAACATTACAGTTTGCCACCAAAAAAAAAGGCAAAGACAGTTCCATCAGTGGGGAAAGTGATGGCCTCAGTTTTTTGGGATGCTAAAGGCAATCATCTTTATTGACTACCTAGAAAGAGGAAAGACCATCAATGCTGTCTATTACTGTGAACTTTTGGAAAAACTGAAGAAAGAAATTGAAGAAAAGAGGCCACACTTGAAGAAGAAAAAGGTTCTGTTCCACCACGATAATGCACCTGCACATTCCGCCAGAATCACTGAACAAAAGATAAATGGACTTCACTTCCAATTAGTTCCGCATCCACTATACTCACCTGATTTGGCCCCCAGTGACTTCCACCTTTTTCCAAACCTAAAAAAATTCTTGGCTGGAAAGAGATTCCACTCAAATGACAAAGTCATCTCTGAAGTGAATGAGTATTTTGCACACCTTGACAAATCGACCTATTGTGATGGCATAAAAAAACTAGAACATCGCTGGAATAAGTGCATTGCTAACAAAGAGACTACATTGAAAAAATAAAAAAAGTTTTAACATTATTTTGTTTGTTGTTCTATTTGAGTCTGCGAACTTTCCAAACAGCTCTTGTAATTCAAATAGACTGTAATTAAAGGAATTAAAATTCAGAGAATTAAGACTTGGAATGTCAGTCCTGTGCAAATCTGCCACAAGGATATCTCATACCTGTGTCTGAGTCTTATTTTTTGTATCCCTTACAAATTAGTGCAGTTATACTGTGAATTCTTAATTTTTAATCACCATCAAAACTCCTTTGAATTAAGTTTGGATGGTATGAATGCTGGGCATCATTTTTATATACTAGTTTGTACAAGTTTATTCTTTGCCAGACAAGAAACTCACTACTGAGACAACTTCACACATGTTTGATTGTACAATACTATAAATCATTACAAATATATAATGCAAGCATTAACACTTATACCATTGGAGCTTTCAATTTTACTTTTTAGTGTAATGTTTTGTTCTATTTTTGAAATTAATAACTCAAATCAGGCATTTAATTAAGAATGTATTTTGACACCCTCTTGACAGTAGTACTTGTGTGGGGGCAATTAGCCTTTTCTGCCACTTACTGTAGCCCTGGCCCTTTATTAACCTTTAGAATTTGTTAAAAAAATTCTTAAATAACTTAACAATTTTTTTTATATAATATAAATGTAATCATATTTTTGAATAATTATTTATTTATTTGTGTGTGTGTGCGCGTGCACTTTAATTTAATTTAATAAATATGTATTAATGCATTTTTTAGATATAGAGATGCAGGAGCAGAAGTGATTGACGTTTTAAGTACTTTCAGTGATTGTGTAGAAAGAGCTAGTATCGATGAGGCATATTTAGATATGACCAAGATTATAGCTTCAAAATGTGGAGTTAATGTTGCAGCAGAGGAGTTACCACATACATCTGTAGTTGGTTGGGATAATGGTAATTTTGAAATTTAAAATAAAAGTTTCATAAAATTATTATAATTTTTTAAAAGACCTAAATTTGTTTTTTAATTATAAACAATTAACTTTGGTTATAAAATTGTAAGAATAGTTTGATTCTGAGAAATTATTACAGACTTTATTTTAATTATCATATCAGCATTTTTAATACATGATAATACATGATTAAACTATTGGTCTGGAAAGATAAAAAGATTGTTGTAATTTTTTATGCAAGAAACTGACAGGAAAAAATTTTTGTTGCAGAAATCATTGATTGACTACTCTTGTTTAGAGATTTACAATTGTTTTGGATAGACTTAAGAATTAATGTAGTACTCACGTTTTATCAATAAGTATCTATAATTTTTTATGAAAACAAAGTTAGAATATAAGATGATGTATTTATTACATAATTGTAAAGTATAAAATTGATAGTGATGATAAGAAATTTATTACAGCAAACAGTCTATTATAATAAATAAAATATTGAAATATGTGTTTTCCAAAATACAGTAAAACCTTGTTAATCTGGGCTAATGGGAGGAACAGGTGTCCAAGTTAATGAAATTCCAGATAACTGAAATAAACCTGAAAACATAAGAAACCTTCATGCTTTTAAGCAAAAAATACATTTACAGTAATACCCTGAACTTATGCAATAGTTGGGACCGAGTGATAACCGTGTAAGTCAAATTCGTGTAAGTCGGTATAATTTCGTATATAAATACATACAAAAATTTTTAATTGGAGCCAGAAACAAAAGAAAACAATAATTTAGAAAAAAATGTTTAATGAAATCTTAGATAATACTTATGTATAATAAATTATATTATTAAAATTGTAAGCCAAAGTTATTTTGATGTAGAAGGCTTCATAAAATTTATCAAATTCATCTGATGGCTCAAAGATTTTTTTTCTTCCTCAAAATTTGCTTGTAGCATGCTAATAATTTTTTTATTTCTCGTTTTGTAGAAGAAATGCACTCTTCGTTGGAGTTTATATTTTCTAAAATTTGTAACCCCTTTTCAATAAATAACCCTTTTGTCAAGTTTCCAACCGTCATTCAATCTTCTGATTGAACTGGATCTAAAGAATCTTCAATGTCTTGCTCTTGCTCATGCATTTCTATGAGCTCATCAATTGTCAGCTCCTGATTGTGGGAGTCCAGCAATTCTTGAACGTCATCACTATCCACTTCTAAATTTATTTGCCTGGCAAGATTGACAACTTCTTCAATTATATTACCAATTTCATCAGGCTCTGGCACTGATCCCTCCTGAGTTTCAGAAAAAAAAAGGACACAGTTTTTTCCAGATGCCATTTAAAGTTTTTTGTGAAACTTCATTCCAAGATTGTCCAATGATTCTCACTGCATCTAAAACATTGAATTGTTTCCAAAAGTCTTTAACAGAGAGCTTGTTGTTTTGTCTCATAGCTTCATGCAGATGTGCAAACGATCGTCTTGTGTAATGTTTGAATGTTTGAAGATTTGAATGTTTTGATGACTCTCTGATCCATTGGTTGAAGCAAGCTGGTTGTATTTGGTAGCAAAAATACAACTTTCACATGTGGATCAAAATTAGTTAAAGTTGCAGGGGATGATCTGGTGCGTTGTCAATTATTATCGTCACTTTAAATGGAATTTGTTTAGATTGGCAATAATGTTCGACTTCAGGTATGAAGTGATGACCAAACCAGTCCTCAAAAAGGGAAGCTGTCACCCAAGCTTTACGATTCAACTTCCAAATCAGAGGCAAGCCATCTTTAGATTTATTTTTCAATGCTCTTGGATTTTCCAATTGATAAACTAAGAGAGGTTTTAACTTACAATCACAAGCTGTAGTTGCTCCAAACATCACTGTCAATCAATCTTTGGTGGCCTTAAAACCTGGAAAGGTTTTCTCTTCACACACGATAAAAGTTCTTTTAGGCATCTTCCAGATCAGGCCAGTCTCATCTACGTTGAATATGGTTTGGCTGCTATAGCCACCTTCATCTATCATAGCTTTGAATTTCTCTGGATAGAAAGACGCAGCCTCTTTATCAGCACTTGCTGCCTCTCCACTTTCTGCAATGCTATGCCATTTACAGTGACTTTTGAATCATCTGAACCAACCATTACTAGCTTTAAACTCTTTATCGTTAGCCACTTCTCCAGCATCCTCTTTCAATCTCTCAAAAATCAGCTTAGCTTGAGAGCACACTGAGTTCTGATCAACAGGACAATTTTCATATTTACTTGATTATCACACCATAATTTTGACATTGTTTCCATCTCAGCGATAATACCGTGACATTTACGAATGATGCTTGAATTTAAAGATTGAGCATTTTTCACAGCTTCAAGAATTTTTTCTTTACCTTTTATAATTGTTCTGACCATCAATTCCAGTAGATCGAACTTCTTTGCCAATTCATAAATTTTCATTTTTGTATCGAAGTCTTTAATAATATTAACTTTACTTTCCAAAGATAAAGTTTTTCTTGTTTGATGCAGAAGAATCAGTTCTACTTTGTTTGGATGACATAGTAGAGACGAATCGATGAGATTTGAAAATTGTGTAACTTTGGGTTCACATAAGTTGTGATAGCGTAAGTTGAAGTATTACTGTATTTTACAATTTAAAATAGTGTCCTATTCTAATTTAAAATGGTGTTTGTGTATCAACATTTCCATTATGCTTATATGTTTTTAAATACTCTAATGTAACATTCAGTATGAAGTTATGACGATGATAATTATTATTTTATTTTATATTTCGTGTTAAAATTCATTAAAACAAAAGCAGTTTTTTTTAAAATTTAACTAAAATAGTAAAACAGATTTTTATATACTGTATTTACATACATAATACATATGTTATATGTAAAATTTCCTAAGTCTCAATTTAAGATAGAAAATACTGAAACAGTCATTTAATTTAAAAAATATTTTCCATTTTATTATGTAAAATGTGTATGTACAAACATGCTAATGTAAAATCTAGGACAGTTATGATGTATATTGTTGTCCAGATTAAGAAAGATTCAGATTATTAAGGTTTGGATTAACAAGGTTTTATTATATATAAATACAGTGAGTGATCGGTTAACGAACATAATCCATTCCAAGACTTTGTTCGTTATCCAAATTGTTCGTTAACCGATTATCGATTTCCCATAGGTTTTTATGGGAATTTGATTAATTCGTTCTGGAGACTCCAAAAAATAAAATTATACTTTTTTACTAAGTTTATTTACATGTAATAGTAAAAATACATATATATGCAGTCTTGCATTTTTATTAGTCATGTTTTTTCTGTTTGTGGGGTTAAAGAATCTGTCCAATGTTGATTGCTTTTCTTTTTTCTTCAGAATTTTTCAGAAGTAATTAATAGTATTGTAATGGTGGAGATCCCAAACCCATTAAACCTTATTCTGGTTTGGATGCCACTTGGATGATCTGACATCCTCCCACGTCTTCAAAAGTAGCAGATGTCGACATTGGTCCTCTTTCGCCTTCCTCTTTTTCAAAAGAAAACACATCTAGCCACGTTTCTTAGTATCCTTCATTTGAGAGTTCTTGGAGTTCTTCTGTCATCAGATCAGTTTCAGGTTCCATTGTGAACTATAAATGCTCTTTTATTTCTCAGATGTGATTTTCATTACTCCATTAGCAGCTTGAGACTTCTTGATATATCTTTCATATTTCTCAGTTATTTCTCAGATGCGATTTTCATTACTCCATTAGCAGCTTGAGACTTCTTGATATATCTTTCATAGCTAAGATTGTACCTACTGTAGACCTGTTTAAGCCATACTGCCCAGCAACATCAGACATCTTATGCTCACTTTCTACCTTGGCTATTATCTCTTACTCGGTTTCTATGGTGAGCACAGTTCTTGACACTCCTCTTTTTAGGTTCCATATTATCAGTTTCCTTTTTAAATAAAAAGTCCAGAAAAGCACTTACAAAAATTCAGAGAACAGAAATCAACTAGCCCACAAAAAATTATTTAAATACAAGGCCCGGATGAAATTCGAAATTTGGTATTAAAACATTAATATATATCCTTTCACCTTTCGTAAATAAACCCCGATGCAAAATTTAAGAAGTACCTGTCCGACAATCTTGCGAAGACTATAAAAATTATTTGTCAGAAAGGTAAACAAAAAGCTGGAATTACAAGGGTAAGTTTCAAAATTCAGAGGAATACTATCTGATTGGTATCGAGTTGAGAGTTGATGTTACGTCTCCTGCACTCCAAAAGGTTTCAAATTGTTACCTGAAGACAAGGGAAAAATCAATCGGTATTTGTTATTTTCCGTTGCTTCTTTTTATGTTTATTCAGTAAAGTGTTCATTATCCGAACATGTGTTCGTTGTCCGATCATAAAAATCTTTTGCAAAAGTGTTCGTTATCCAATTTGTTTGCTATCCGAACTGTTCGTTAACTGATCACCCATGTATTTATTTGTGAAATACATGAACAAAAAAAATGGCTACAAATATTGAACAATAATTATAAAAGCTAGTCTAGGCAATAATATTGTCAAATGCTGAAAAATTTTGTATATGGAAAGCTCTTATACAGTATTTTGGAAAAATAGAAAGATATCAGTTTTATCTGCCAAAATTTATAAATATATTACAAGATTTTAAAAAATTGCTGGGACAAATTTACTTTTACAAAAAAATATATTTCTTGAGACTATACATACAGGATGAGTCAATTTCATTTGGTCCCTTCACATGCCGTTGAGGTAATAATAATTCCACGGCAAAGCTGACCTTTTATTTTAGGCTACTTGTCCGCCATCCAATGCAAAAAGTTAGAATAGTCCTCTAACAGTGGCTTTAACTTTTTGCATTGGATGGCGGACAAGTAGCCTACAATAAAAGGTCAACTCTACTGTGGAATTGTTATTACCTCAACAGTGTGTGAAGGGACCGAATGAAATTGACTTATCCTATATGTATAGTCTCAAGAAATATATTTTTTTATATTACAAGAGTTTTAAAATGTTTCAAAGAATCTTTAGAATAGATAGCTTAGCAAAAAAATCTATTTTGTTGACCTTCAAACTATATATTTCATTTTGACAAATTGATAAGTCAAGATTTTGATGTAATAACAATCTTTTAAAAAGTAAGTTTATAATGATTTGCATGTATTATTAGCTATAGCTAATAATAATGTATTGTATCCAAATGACTGAAAATATTAAAAAATTATTGAGATTGTTTGGAAATTTCTTTAATGCCAATTTTGATATTTGTATCAATGTTAGCAAAAAATTTTGCTATTTGGAAAGTGAAATTAATGAAAAGGTTGTTGTAAGGAAGATACTAATAATAATTTGATATTTAGTCCATTTTCTAGTTTTAGAATTTATGATATTATTTCTTAAGTAAAAAATTTTGGTTTTTATCACACACAAATGATCAAGATAAATTTAATATTTGCAATATAGAAAAATTGTGTAATTTGAAAAATATAAAATTATGAAAATTCTTTATAATAAAAATTTTAAAAAATACTTGGTTGTATATATTATATTGTATTATATATTATATTGTATATATAAATATAAATTGCATACATTACAGTATGCAATTTATATTTTTGAAATGAAGATTACTTGCTTATGGACATAAATTATTATGTTAAACTATTAATCCTTCATTTGAGATGCAGTCAAAATTATATCTTAACATATAACAGCAGACTAACAATAGATCCTGAAAAAATATGTAGTAACTAAACAATGCAAGTATATGAAATTTGAGAACATGTATTTCTTCATTGTGTAAAATTTAGAGATAGTAGGGACAAGTATTTAATAAAGTTTAATGTTTGTAAAGATGATATTAACATATCGTGCTTCCCAAAAACTGATTATTACTCGATATTTTACTTTGTGTTATTTTGTACTAAATTCTTAATTTGTTAAATAATATATTATATTTCTTTTCATTTTTTTTTGTAACAAATTACCCCTTGTAACGAACTAAGGTTCATACAATAAAGAATTGATTGATTGATATCTTTGAAATAAATTTTACTATTTTATTTTGCAAAACTTAAATTTTTGTAAATTATGATTGATATATTTTACTGTAGTTTTGAATATGTTTTTGTATTTTTATGCATTTATAGTTTAAGTGTGTATTTTTGTTCATTATCTCACACAAGTCACTTCTAATGTTGTTTCAGACATAGATAGCATAGCTGTTGATTGCCAATAGGTTTAGCATATTATAAAACACACATAGTGGCCACCTTTTGGTTTATCTGTTAATATTCATATTTGAACACATTTAATCTACTGTGTCTACTGCTCCCTTTGTACTATTATAAGAGTGTATTATTTGTGGTTTTCCTGTATTTTCATTGATGTTAGGTTGATCATGAATAGTCAACAAAACATAAACAACTTTATTTGACTTGGCTTTGTACGAAACTAATGTCTTATTGCTGTTGTAACAAATTCCTCCCCATACTTGTCTTCCATTTCTGAATTAATCCATTGCCTTATCTGCTCCTCTTGAATCCTCAAATCCATCTAAAAATAAGAAATATAGGATATGAGAATAATAAAAATATATATAACAAAAACGAAAAAAAGACTATCATTGTTTCAAAAGTACACATTATGTCACCAGTCTTCAATTATTTCATTAGACATATATTCAAATATACATATTATCCTGAATATGAAAAAAACATTCTGTATCAACCTATAAAACAATAAAAATAAAAAGAAGTATAATGTACATACCTTTGCAACAAAGTTATGTAGCAACTAAACTTTCGTCGAGCGGACTATGGGATGGGTGTAAATCAATTTCTAATTGACGTGTGAACAAATTGCATCACACACTGCACTGTTTATTCAAATTATAAAGGTAGAAAAAGAATGACCAGCAAGGGGTGCAGGGAACTTTGTGAACTTCACTTTCAAGCGGAGTTGCGTCATTGCATGGACAAATGATTAGTTATCTAGGGTTATGAAGAAAATATTTTTGCTGCTCAGAGACAATCTTGCATCCTCCAAAGAGTTTGATTATTTTTTTTAACTATTTCTGCTGTTGGTATTAAGAGAGGTCTTTTATAGCAAGCCAATTGTGGGTTTGACCAGGCTCACAATGGGCTGGCTGGATTATGAGAGATGGGAGCCTGATATATCTGGTCAGACTAATTCCCAAAAAATTCCTGGGGTTTTTGACCCACCCAGATTTGATCTCAGGTTTCCCTGAGTGGTAGCTGCCATCTTAGCCACTTGAACATCCAACCCTGAAGCTTAATACTGTGAGATGACAATGACCAGTGACTGAGCAGTTAAGTAGCAGCCTACCCCTTTAGGAATCTAGGATTGAATCCAGATGGATAAAATCCCCAGATATTTTTGTGGGTGATCTGTCTGGATATGTTTATCCTTGTCCCTCACCACTCAGCTTGCCCGACTATTGTCCTGACTGAACTCATGGTGGGCTTACTGAAAATGCCCTCTTAGTGCCCACAAGGCAGAGAGAATTAAAGCCATGAAGCACTTACAATTTTCATAAGTCATATCTCTATTCTATAATTCTTAGTTTAAAATTTTGTTGTTTAAGTTTTGTACTTCACATTCAAATACTATATACAGGACAAAAATTTGATTTAATTATTTGTTTTAGGATCTTTATATTTTATTTTCTATTAATTAAAACAAATAGTTCTATTATTTTCTTAAATTTATCATAATTTATCTATTACAGAATAATAAAAAAAATTAATACAATTAAAGTTAACAAATATTTTTTAGGTTTAAATCACTCTGTAGAAAAATGGTTAGAATCTATTAATGAATGTGGAACCATATCTGATAAAAATCTTGCTATTGCTGCTTCAATTGTAGAAGAAATGAGAACTGCTATATTTTCTAGAACTAAGTTTAAATGTTCAGCAGGAATTTCATATAATAAAGTAAGTTTTTTTAAGTATAAAATTTATTTTGTAAGTGTAATGAACATAATGGTTATTCTGTTGAAAGCTAATAAGGTGTTTATGTATTGATTTCTGTTTTTAATTTTAGATGAGTAGTAGTATTGTCATATTTCATAAAATATGATGCTTAGTTATTTATATAGTACAAAACTTTAAAAAGAAAAATAATAATTTTTCAAAAATTTTGTGACAAATTTCTGTAGTTATTTTTGATAAAAATTAAAAAGTATTGTATACAAAAAAAAATAACAAGAGAATTGTACAAAAGTCAGTTTACTGTAAGCACATTCATGGAAAAAATGGCGTGCACTTTTTTCTCCTATATGAACTAATTTAATTAATTCTAGGTAAATTAGCTCATACAGAGAAAATTATATTTAATTGTTAACTGAAAATATGCTCTCATTTGTTAAATATTCAGACTATAAAATGAATAATTTCAAAATTTATTCCAGTTTATTTTATAACTTGTAGAATTTATTTCAATAAATTATTAATAAAGTATATTGGAGTAACTTTTGTTTCCTTATAAAAATAATTAATATTTAATTTTTTTTTACTTTTTTATTTAGATGTTAGCAAAATTAGCTTGTGGATTGCATAAACCAAATCATCAAACTATTCTTCCTCAATCTTCTGTTATGGAATTATTTAAGTCTATTCCAATTCACAAATTGTAAGTTCACATATTTTAATTTGTTTAGGCTTTTATAGTTTCACATAATTTCATGTTCAAAGACTCAATATAAAATCTCATCATTTTATATTCTCTTCCTTATTATTTTCAACTTTAAGTAATATAAACTCATTCTGGATGTGAGATCAAACGATCAAATAAACATTCAAGTTAGAAACGTAAGTATTTTTCTTTTTTGAATGTTTTCAACACTACAAAGTATTTTCTTTGGGAAGGCTTCTAAATTGAATACAAAGTGCATGCAAGAATAAAAATTTAAAAAAAAATTTGAATATGTGAGAATTGGGATTTTGGTTTTACCCACCTCACATTCAGGATGACCATTTACTTATCATTGAAAGCCGAGAATATGTGAATATTTCAACTTTCTCAATATTATCATCAAGATTCTTGACATTAGTTAGGATAAAACTATTCTGCGTCCTAACTCTCAAATTAATCCTTTCATGTGGAAAGATATAAATAAATTATACAAGAACTTTAGGAGGAACTAAATTATATTGATATTTTTATCAATAATGTGAGAAACATGGGCCAACAATGGAGGTAGGCATTCATAAATTAGACAACAATTAGGAATATATCTGTATATTTATTGACAAGACTATGTCTTGTTTATAAAATCATACTGCCTGCTATGTTACTAGCTTAGAGGTATGAATGAGTACATGTCAAGAGTTGATATTTGGCACAGAGTATTTGGTGCCCAAATCATGCATGCATAAAAAAAACCAGACTTGTAGGTACTAAGAGGACCAAGAACAGAGTCAAAATAAAATACAAAAAGGCAACACTTTCTACAAACAGGCAGTAGTGTGAGATTTGTGCATTTGTTGCTAGTTGGGAAGTTGGAAATGCGAACATTGTGAAAACGAATTTTGACAAACGAGTGCATTGGGAAGTTCAAAATGAGAAATCAAATTTTGACAATCATATCTTTGAATAAAACCCATTTACCTATTCCATGTTATTCCCCACATATCTCTGGTTGCCATGTGCTGACCTTGACTGGTTGACCCAAGACAAACTATATATATATATATAGTTTGTGCAAAATAAAAAAATAATTTCAGATGATAGGATAGCCATGATTATTTTTTCAGAAACGGGGAATTTTCATTAGGCATCGACAAAAATTAACCCAAGGCAACACACAACGGAGAGAAATTTCGAAATTGGATAGGTTAATTTCACTGAAAATGCATCATGGACAATGTCGTGGTTGTGGCTGGCAAAGTTTGAATGATGGTGCTCAAAACCAGCAATACCAAAGAAGATTGGCGAATGAGAACGAGACCCATCTTGAGCATCGAAGTGATCCTGCTTAGTAGTGAGTTTTTGAGACATAGTCTTGTCCCAAATATGACTTTGCCATTTTACTTGTTTATATATAAAACTATATTTATCATATATACATACATTTAATAAAAATCCTCAAACACAGTATAGTAAGAATAAGAACAGAAATTTCAATTTCAAGATTCATTTAAGAGAGGACTTCAAATTTCAACCCTCTAAATCTTACTCTAATTTGAGAGAGAGTTTGCATACATAATTTATATTATGTATGATTATATATACTTGACGTTGAAAGTTGAAACTCTTGGAAGGAGACATAACTTTAATTATGCGATTTTTGTCTCATCTTGGCAGGAGAATAAGTGAGAGAGCTGGGGAAGTGAACAAGAGCAGGAATGTTGGAAAAAGTGTGTTTGGAGATGACCTCTCATCTTTTATATGAAAATTCCATCTAATCAGTTAATTTGAAATAAACTCTTTATGCTTCCAACATGTGAAGTTGGGTTGTCTTGTGGATAGAATGTGGGACATCCCACACTATCACTTTTGGAGGAACTGAGTTGTTTTCCTCCAGTTGAAAAAGGAAGTTCTTTTTTTAACTTTGCATAATTTTAAAAGATAGATAAAATTTCTATCAAATAAATTTAATAATTATTTTAACAAAATTTTTTAAAAATAATTTCCAAACTCTAGATTCTCACAAATACATTTAAATATTTTACATTCAAAATTAAATTTATATTTGAGCTTTACAGTTTTTCACATTTACAGTTCAAAAATTACAAAAATTTAAAATTAAAGATTAAGGATAAAATAAAACTTAAACAATACAAAAAATGTTTAAGTAACAATTTCTACAATAATGGATGAAATTAAATTGCCAAAAATGAGAAATTTCATCCATTTTCACAGAAATTACTTAATTACAAAATATCAAAAATAACTAATTTTTTGTGTTGTCGTTTTTGAACACCATATAGTTCAGACACACAACACAAGGCAATCTTCATTTTAAATTTATTTAATTTTTAGTTGATACATGTACCTGTTTATAATTTTTATTGATTAGCCTCATTTATTTAGGATAAGGAATTATTAATCCATGTTGCAATCAGTAAACCAAATTGGAAAACTGGATCATGCTAAATATTTCCTTTCATCTTGTCTTGTGTTGTTTTTATATTTCTGTGACAACCAATGATAAAGTTATAATATTATTTCTAAAAGGCAAAGCAAAAAAGGACCCTTAGATTAAGGACAAAAATCATATAGCTGGTGGTCATATCTTTAAGGGCTATTGTGGCACAGAGTTTAGTTTAGCATTATTACAACATTTGTGATTAAACAGATTGGTAAAATAATTTTTTTTTTCTGATTATATTTATATATGCAAGTTATTTTTTAGAATCTGATATCTTCTTAAAGGGGACTCTGCAAGAGTTTAACACCTTGAGATGTATAATATATAGTTATTTCTGTTTTCTATTTTCTTGGCTGGATGACCGAGCGTCAAGGTTGCAGCCGACCACTCTGGGGACCCAGGATCGAATCAGGACGGATCAAACAATCTTCAGGAATTTTTCGGGGGTAGTCCGTTTGGATATGTCGGGCCCCGTCCCTCACCACCTGGCTGTCCCATTGTGGGCCTGGCCGAACCATAATAGGCTTGCAAAAATAGGCCCTCTTAGTGTCCACAGGGAGGAAAGAGTTTTAAAAAATATATATCTATTTTTTTTTGCTTCATTCACATTATGTAGTCATTTATTTGAATTAGTACAATTTATTCTAATGTAATTTTACTGTTTTGTAAATTTTATCTCTACATTACAAACTCTTTTATCAATATTATAATTTCATTAATTTAAAAAAAAAATTATTTTACTCTATTTTATTTATTTTCCACTTGTTTATTGTGTTAAGCAACTATTTACTTTACTTTTTTTTTACCAATAAAGAAATGAAAGACTTTGAACAGCAACTGGGCAAGAAACAAAGTTTTTAAAACATTTACTTTTTTACAGTTTTTGCATTTTTGACCATAATGCATTGCTTGGTACAGCATGAAGTCATAATACATAGGGAATTCACTATTGTTGTTCGGAGAAAGATAACTACTGTATTTTTTTTTTTAAGTCATGTGTAGCAGATGATTGATTGTTGCTTTTATATGCAAGATAGCATCCCATAATTTTCAATTTTAAAAATCTGAATAAAACACAATTTTTTGCTAGTTTAAGTTTAATATGCATTATATAATGTAAATTTTGTTATTTTGGTACAACAATGAGTCAAGTACAGTTTCATACATATCCTTTATTTACAGAATAAATAAAAACTAAAACATTTAAATAAACACCCAAATATTTTCTTACTTATACATCTTTGAAACAACATAAAGTTAGAATTTATTAAATGAGTTATTCAAAGTGTAAAATGTTTTTTGTGTTGCCTGAAAAACGTTATAAAATGGAGTTGTCTTGTTGTTGCACCTNGTACGTACTTTTCCTTTGTTTAAGGGTATTTGGGCAGTTTATTCTCTGTTGTATTCTCAAGCAAACAATACATACAAGTACAGTACAGTATTTTCTGAGGAAACACGCATACTTATCCTTTTTTAACCCCATTCCCGATAACCCGGCATTTTCACAAACTTGGCCACCCTTCGGTCCACATTAGGCCGAGTTTTTGAGGTTCTACTGTATTATATTATACAGGGGGGTGCAAAAGTAGGTATACAGTTGAGAACTGAGAAATACAAATGTTTGGTGTTTATGATTATTATTTTTATTATCTTTTCTTAGTTTGTATTTGTTGGGTCAGGTGTTTTCCATGTGTGAAAACCTAACGACTGGGGTTCAATCTGGAACCAATCAGGTTACACCTACATGTGGGCGCGAGATTTGGGGATGTCTTTTGTTCGGGTCAGTCAGATGAGCAGGACATGACCGGTGTCCAGTCCGACCGTTATAACCGTTTCTTTGTTATATATTAAACAGCGATCTACAATTAGAGATCTATACACCTTTAAGAACTTAACAGTATTCCTTATTTGTGATTTAATTTGTATATGAAAATAAATGTTTTTTCTTCCTATTTTCTCCTTGTATGTTTTGTATGTCTGCTTTAATTCTTGCATATGATTAGATATAGACTTTATTATTTAAAACTTTATAATTNTTATAATTTCATTAATTTAAAAAAAAAATTATTTTACTCTATTTTATTTATTTTCCACTTGTTTATTGTGTTAAGCAACTATTTACTTTACTTTTTTTTTACCAATAAAGAAATGAAAGACTTTGAACAGCAACTGGGCAAGAAACAAAGTTTTTAAAACATTTACTTTTTTACAGTTTTTGCATTTTTGACCATAATGCATTGCTTGGTACAGCATGAAGTCATAATACATAGGGAATTCACTATTGTTGTTCGGAGAAAGATAACTACTGTATTTTTTTTTTTTAAGTCATGTGTAGCAGATGATTGATTGTTGCTTTTATATGCAAGATAGCATCCCATAATTTTCAATTTTAAAAATCTGAAGATTGTAAATGTGAAATGAAAGTGAATAAAACACAATTTTTTGCTAGTTTAAGTTTAATATGCATTATATAATGTAAATTTTGTTATTTTGGTACAACAATGAGTCAAGTACAGTTTCATACATATCCTTTATTTGCAGAATAAATAAAAACTAAAACATTTAAATAAACACCCAAATATTTTCTTACTTATACATCTTTGAAACAACATAAAGTTAGAATTTATTAAATGAGTTATTCAAAGTGTAAAATGTTTTTTGTGTTGCCTGAAAAACGTTATAAAATGGAGTTGTCTTGTTGTTGCACCTGCACCAAACCATTTAAATATTTGTTAGCTTACATGTTTGCTTCTCTTATTTTATATTACTTATTTATTTATCAGTAAATAACCACATCAACACTTTCATTTATTTTATATCATTTAAAATCATTGGTTGATAAGTAAATCAGTGTTGTAGCATTTGTTGTTTATAGAACATGGATACATAATTGGATTATGCTAAAACAAGGCATAAAAATTTCTTAAAATACAATGGAAAAGTTTGTCCCAGCTTGAGATTTTGAGAGGTTTCCAGGAACAAGATTTACACTCAAATTTGGATTATACTGTAATATATTATTTAGTAATGCAACTCTTGCTTATAATATTTTAAATACTTTAGTTATAGTATGGATAATATATTAATAATATTACCCAATAGTATAACTTTTCAGAAAATAAATAGTTTATAAAAGAAAATTTTCATTTTTTAGACGAAATCTTGGAGGAAAATTAGGAGATGACATTAAAGAGAAATTAGAAATAGAAACAATATTTGAACTATCATTATGTAATGAAAAGAAATTGAAATCACTATTTGGTGATAAAACTGGGTAAGTAGATTCAATTATCATTATAAAGTGTTTGAAAATAAATTTTAAATGGCTTATATGTTTTAGCCATTTAATACATTTCATTGATAAGTTACTGAATAGTTTATAAAATAATATCAGGATTGTTGTTGCTCATCTGAAATTTTTCATATAATAATTGTTAATAAACTAACTCAGGAATGTTCGACCTGTGGGCTGCAATATTTTTAATGCGACCCACTGCACCCTAAATTTTTTAGGTACATTTTCATTTATTTTGGAAAAGTATGTTGTAGAAATTATTCTCATTTCACTTGATACACTTTTATGTCATAATAATGTAATTACTACTAGAAAATTGTTTTATCTAGAAAACTGTTATGCATGTGGGGTGGTACATACTGTTGAGAACAATTCTTTTCATGCATGAAAAACATCAAAACTGCTGAAAGGAATAGGTTGAGCGATTCCCATTTAACTAACATACTAACATTCTTACAATTGGGACTAGTATTATAAAAGCAGATGTTGACAATATTATAAAAGGAAGGCAATGTCAAAAATCTCATTGAATTTTTTATCTTGTGTGAGTATAATTTCTTTTTTTACTGTCAATAAATAATACAATATTTTTTGTAATTATATATATTTGTTATTAAAATTTGATAATCATATTTTGAACTTTTTTAAAAACTATATTTATATAAAGTACCTTTGTGACCTGCTGAATATATGTAAATTTCTAATTTGGCCCATTAGGAAAAAAGGTTGGGCAACCCTGGACTAACTGATTTGCTGTCCAGACTTATCCTAAAACTGAAGAAGGGTACAAATAAAAAAATACTTGAAATACATATTGAAAATAAAGATTATATTATGAAGTAAAGCTGTCATCACTTTACAAGATCAGTTTGATAAGTCTGGAAGAAAGGCAAGTCAGTTAGCCTATTAACAAATTATCATAAAATAATAGCTGATGTAATTACATGAAATATTTGAAATATTCCCATCAAATTAATAAGTTTCCATCATGACAAAGAAACATGGAAAATGTGAAAAGTTCTTTATGTAGTGATAACATTAATGGAAGTATTGCTCTTTTATACAGGGCTGTGGAGTCGCGTAAAAATCTACCGACTCCAACTTTTCCTTACCATCCGACTCCGACTTTTCCTTACCATCCGACTCCGACTCCAACTAGGGGCAGACTTGTTACTGAAAGAGACCCGGAAATTCTGATGTCATCACGTGACCTCAGAATAAAATATTCAATAAATAGAGTTGTAATAAAGATAGAGCGTAGAAACTTTTTATTCCAAAGCTAAAAGACTTCTCTAAGTAATATATAAATATGTATTCGATAGTTTTTACTTTTCCGGCTGTTATA